AAGAGTGTCCTACAAGAGTGTCCTACAAGAGTGTCCCAGAAGAGTGTCCTACAAGAGTGTCCCAGAAGAGTGTCCTACAAGAGTGTCCTACAAGAGTGTCCCAGAAGAGTGTCCTACAAGAGTGTCCCATAAGAGTGTCCCACAAGAGTGTCCTACAAGAGTGTCCAACAAGAGTTTCCTACAAGAGTGACCCACAAGAGTGTCCCAGAAGAGTGTCCTACAAGAGTGTCCTACAAGAGTGTCCCAGAAGAGTGTCCCACAAGAGTGTCATTTGGACATATGTAGTTTTTCGAACGTGTTTGCATTCGGGTTCGTGGGTTCCATCGTGTTTCAAATGTTCCGATTTCCGGAAACATTGTGCTTTTTATGAAGTGAGTCCTGCAAAAGTCATTTTATAGGTCACCAGGATCCCCATTTCATAAGGACCTGTGCAAGGGGGATCCTTTAACAGGGTCCTATAGGGTCCTAGTTCAGATCACTTACCATCTGTTGGTTCTGGGTCTTTCCAACCCTAAATTCTTCAAGAAGGAACTATCATGAAGGCTCATCTCTAAAAGGGCGCAGGATTTTTGAGGAGGCTATCTGGCCAGGTTAGGATCCTTCCAAACAGGAAACTGGAATGTGACAAATCAAATGACACTCTGAGATGCTCGAAGGGCGCTGCTGCAGCCATTGCGGTGGGCCAGCTCCTTCCTTGGAGCATGTGAGATGTGAGAGGGTGAGGGGCCATCAACTGTATAACAATTATAACAAGACTGGTCCAAGTCCACTTGGACGTGGAGACGGAGCAAGTCAGGGCGAAACCAACACGTTGGGAATCATGTCCAGTGGGCCAAGTCAACCCTTCCAGGCTTTGGAGCTCCATTTTTTTGACCCATGGCCAATGGCCATATAACCTGCAGCAATGAGGTCTATGTACTTCGACTTCGAACCGAATGGACGCATCAGAGTTGGGAGCGGAAAAAAGTGGCCAAAACCGATCCGCCTGACCTGACCAAACGCGACCTGTCTGGACTAGAATATATACATTGACCCATGAAACATACATTGACCCATGAAACTACCCAATGTATGTAACATCTGCCAGTCCCATGGAGTGTCAGAGTCGGGAGATCAGCGATGCCCATCTCACCAGCGGTTCAACAGCTTGAATGAGCCCTGGTGGACTCTTGCCCCAAACCATCCACGCATGTTCCATATACTAATAGTCATATAATACGCCCATCATTCAGGTCCCATCCATGGAACTCATCCATCATCCATGCACATTCGATAGTCCAGGTTGGGAATCCTCTATACCCTCCATGGGACTGCCATATACGCCTACATTGACCAATGTAAGGCATGTATGGCAGTCCCATCGGTCGTGTCTGGGAATCGGCATGGCATGTTTTCCGCGAACACCACTGGATCCACGGTCGGACAGCGTTCACCTCCCAACGCCGACCCAAACTGACTGGTCGACCGAGCGGCAGCTGTTGCACCGAAGACTTCTTCGGAGTGCCGGCCTCGAGCGGCGCCACCGAAGGTCAAGCGCTGGAAACACCCGGCACTGGAATGATGCTTCCGAGGGTGGTGTTTTTGTTCAGGTCGACATGAAGGAGATGTTCCATTCCTCTGCGCAGGGTCACTGGAGAAACTGGAAGCCCGGTGCCAAGCCCCTGGAGGTCACTCTTAACATCCTGGCTTCATCTACCGGATTTCCGTGGATGTCCAACTGTTGGTTGTGGCTCATATGGTTGTGGCTCATGACGCGTCGCTCGGCGCTCGGCACTCCCCCCCGGTTGGTGGACCGGCACTCACTCGCCAGTCACGGTCGGTCGTGGGCGGGAGACACGGTGTGAAGAGGTGTACCGAAGCACTTGCCCAAACACTCCATAGCGGGGGTAGGAACAAGGACGCTACGAACGGTGCTCCGAACGGAGCGATCGGACGCGACGAACGGTGCGGGGCCCCTGGCCGTACTACTATAGAGCAAGAAGCTAGTAGCACACTTGCCCAATCACGGATATGGAAAAATACATGCAAGATCAACCCATGAAACTACGCCAATATATACACCAATGCATGTAGAAATATATGACAGTCACATGGAGTGTCTGTGGACGGGCACTTAAAGCACCTTGCACACAGTCCAGTGCGCTTCCAGGCCTGCGCTTCCAGTGCCTGTGCTTTCGGGATGGCAAGCGCAGGTGCCGAGAAGGTGTAAACATGTGTTTTATCCTTGGATGGGTCCAAAGGCATGAATACGGGACAACCCCAAAATATGATAATGTAGACTGCTGTAGACTCTTGATTAATACACCCCTCCTCGTTTGAATTGGACATCCTCTTCAAAGGGGGGGGTTATTAATCAAGAGTCTACATTACTTCTGCTTGTTAGTTAAATACATATTAAACTATTATTAACCATGTTTCACAGATCCTATGGGAAGGGGCTGGATCAAATGATGCGGGCATCAAACAAATAGCCATAGCCACCTACAATATAGTCGGCACCTGGAAAACCGTTGTCCCATTGGATTGCGTTCCTTCTGTTTGGCTCATGTAAGCTTGGTGCGCCGATCACTGCGCAGAATGCATCCTACCGCAAGCATGGCCTGCAGCCTGCAGGAAAAACAAGTTTTCGCTACAAACTGACGATGTTCCACCAAAAAAAATCTATAGTGTCTGTGATTGGGCTTTCCCAAAAGGCACTTTCCACTATATAGACAACTAGTAGTCAGTGGACATGGATCACTGTTTTCCATGCACATTGATTCCAACCATAGCCTTTGATCCATATTTGTAGGGATCCAGTCGTACCTTCTCAGGTTCCCCTGGCACCTACATAACAGTGTCTCCAATCACCTAACCTGAGAAGGTATTAGGGATCCAACATGATCCAACCATCTCCTCAGGTTCAATGGTTAGACCCAACCCACCCACCCCACACACCCCTTCCAAACGGAGCTCGTGCGCGTCGTCGCGGCACCTCCAAGGAGAGCTTCGCCTGTTCAGCCACCGTGAGCGCGCGCGAGCGCGAGCTGCGCCTCGGTCTCGGTGCGGATCATGGTCTTCCAGGTCTTCCCGGAAAGGGATCCGTATTTGAGTGGGGATCACTGTACATATAGTCTGTTAATGTCTGTTATTTTCGTGTGGCTTTCTATGACCAGCACCAAAGAGGCTTCACCCCATGGGGAGCATGATGGAGCATGAAAAAAAATCAGCAAAACCAGTCCCAGTCCCATCCAAACCTCAGAAACACGGAACACTGTGGACTCACTAGACCTGGTTGTTTTTCTCCCAAAAAGCTCAAACAACATGCCACGTTCTGTCACTGTCTCGGCCTCTAAGGGAATCAAGGGCGGTGTCTGTACAGGTGGTACATGATAAGACCGAAAGCGCAACTTTCGGCTGCGTAATCTTACCTAGGCCCCAACCGCAAGGCACAAGTGATTTTGTCCAGCATACTAGCAGGAAGTGTGTTGTGGTGACTGCTGCTCCAGGTCCCAAACCTAGTAAATACAAGCCTAACCCCAGCAGCAGCAACACCAACATGGTGAACGTCATCATCACCATCATCATCAGGTGCTCATCATCATCATCATCGTCGTCGTCATCATCATCATGATCAGGTACTCAAAGTCACATCGTATTTTTTTAATTGGATAGCAACAAGCCCCGTCACCTGGCTGCCAGTGTCTCGGCTTTGAACAAAGCAGCTGCTCATTCCTTTGCTGCTACGCACTGGGCACTGCAGCCATCATGATATCGGACCCAGATGTTGCTCTCGTCGTCTCGGGCCCGTTTGAATCTGAAGACGCCAGGGCTATTGACATGACGTCCATCGCAAAGCCTCTTCTGCCATCTTCCCAAGGTCAACTGAGATCAAGGCAGGCAAATTCCAAATGGCCTACAAAGCACCTTCGCTTTGAAGATTCTTTTGCAAAAGCACTGCTCAAATGCTTCTGGTGCCTGCCGCCGGTGTAGGACGAACACAATGTCAGCTGCCAAGCAGCCAAGTTACTAGTGCTGGCGCACAAACACCGGGCCAGGCGCCAAAGAGGTTGTCCATCAAGCCAGGTGCCAAAGA